ACTAGGCCTTAAGAAGAATGGTTTGTTCACTGCTTTTTGTGGATCTGGGTGGCTGACTGGCAGAGAAATGTGGCTTTCTACTCACAAAGGTTGTGAGCTGATAGTGTATGGAGGAGCGTGTTCAGCCCACCGTATTCCCTTGTGCTGCTGTAAGGCTAATTTGAAATTCCACACTTTTGTTTAACAAAGACAATAAAAAACAAACCACCCATCAAACCTTCTTAGCAATTATTTAGTTCGTGCTCTCTGTCCTTTTAACTTCTGTAGCTTGATGTGCTTGTTGCTCCACTCCAAACAAACAGGAAAAAACAGTCCTTTAAGCCTTTTACCAGTTTTGATCTTTTATCTGCATACATTGGCAAAATGATAAATGTGAATGGTACAGGAATATTCTGCCCTCATACACAGACATCCTGGTTGCTTGCTATAGTCAAGAGTGATACTTGATTTTGTCTCTGAAATTATCAATAACACTTTTGTAATTGTGATGCAAAACTGATGTTTCACTTATTTACATTTCAAGTCTTTTTGCATGCAGAAGTGAATAAAGACTACATAAAATGTAGCATATAAAAACTGTTTCTTACCTACTTTATAAAAAATAAGTGTTGAACATCTTTTTCAGGATGTGAATATATCTGAACTTATGAAGAAGCTAGATATTCTTGGAGATAATGGGGTAACAGATTTTTCGTTTTGAATATACCTCTAGTTTTATGGTTATTTTAAAGCAGGCTTTTTTATTTTCCCACAGCAGAAAATAACATTCAAGAAAATGCAGAGAGTGATTTTTATATGCCTATATTTGTATGAATAATATGAAAAGAATACTTAAAAGAAAATCTTTCAGTTAAGCTGATGCTAGTGAAAAGCATATTTTCCAAGAAAGGATTTGATCTTGTCTGAATGACATGGAAAAATGGCCCTGTAGTAGGCAGGGGGAAAAGATATAAAGCAGGCTAGGGGAGAAAAAATAAGGAAGTCAAGGCCAGACAACATCATTCCTGATTTTTTCCTCTTGAGTAGTAATAGTATCACCTACTACTGTGAAGGTTGCCTCTGCCAGGAGTGGATTTTCTGGGAGAAAGAGCATGGATAACTGTTTCCCTTTCTTTCCCCATATTGCCAAATACAGTATAAAATCTTGGTCATGCAGTTGGGGCACAAACATCCACGGAGATGGGTCCATTTTATAGGTAATTTTAACAGTTTGAGGTCTTTATAATACTAGTTTTAAGCTCTAGATTTATTTTTTATTTTCAATGTTCTGTGGAGGTTTCTATGCCACTTGCTCTTTATTTTAATCGTTTTCATTAATGGGAAGTCTAGCTCTGAAGTGCATGAGAAGAAGATTCCCTTGCTGCAGGGCTATAGTCCAGTGAACAGGCATTTTTCTGCCTAGAAAAAAAAAAATCAAAATCCCTGACTGAAACCACTAAATTTGCATTCAATAATGAACTGTTGCAAAAGTGTTGTAAGTGGTGTACTGAAATAGAGTGGAGACTAAGTACCCTTCGTTTAGCTTTTAATACTTTCAATTGTGTGATCCTTTCTGGTCATGTTTATAAAATCCTAACTGTTATAGCTGATTTATTCTTTAAATAACAGTTACAATGTATTGCTTGTGTTAAAAGATGCATCTTTTTGTATTTTAGAATTTGAGAAATGAAGAACAGGTTGCAATAATCCAAGCTGGGACTGTGCTTTCCCTCTGTGAAAAGGTAGAATTCAGTAAAGATTTTTCTCTGCCTAGAGACTGACCGTGTCTTTTAAGATATCACATAATGTTGCCAGGGAAGCATGGCTATTCTGTTCAGATCGTCTAGATTGGAGCATGTATTTATCCTTACATGACTGTTGGGATTGTGATGTCTTGAGGTAAAATCAAATTTACAAAATAAACCAAATTTAAAAATAAAAACATGTTTTGGAGATATTCCCTTAGAATAAAGTACTAAAAAAACACTTAGCAGAAGGAACTTAATTCTCAGAAGTGCCCATGTCCTCAGCTTTCTGGGAACAGTGTGCTGTGAAGTTCTCTAAGTCATAAAATCATAGAATCATTTAGGTTGGAAAACACCCATGAGATTTGAGTCCAACCATAAACCTAACACTACCAATCCACCACTAAACCATGTCCCTAAGTGCCATATCTACACATCTGTTAAATACCTCTAGGGATGACGGCTTAACCACTTCCCTGAGCAGCCTGTTCCAATGTTTGATAACCGTTTTGGTGAAGAAATATTTCCTGATATCCAATCTAAATCTCCCCTGGCACAACTTGAGGCTGTTTCCTTTTGTCGTATCACTTGCTACTTGGGAGAAGAGACCGACACCCACCTCGCCACAGCCTCTTTTCAGGTAGTTGTAGAGAGCGATCAGGTCTCCTCTCAGTCTCCTTTTCTCCAGGCTAAACAACCCCAGTTCCCCCAGCTGCTCCTCACAGGACTTGTTCTCTAGACCCTTCACCAGCTTTGTGGCTCTTCTCTGGAGACGCTCCAGCACCTCAATGTCTTTGTTCTTGTGAGAGGCCCAAAACTGAACACAGCATTCGAGGTGCGGCCTCACCCTGGCCAAGTACAGGGGGACGATCACTTCCCCAGTCCTGCTGGCCACACCATTTCTGATACAAGCCAGGATGTTATTGGCCTTCTTGGCCACCTGGGCACACTGCTGGCTCATATTCAGTGGCTGTTGACCAACACCCCTGAGTCTTTTTCTGCCAGGCAGCTTTCCAGCCCCTGTTCCCCAAGCCTGTAGCGTTGCATGGGGTTGTTGTGACCCAAGTGCAGGACGTGGCGTTTGGCCTCGCTGAAACTCATACAGTTGGCCTTGGTCCATCGATCCAGCCTGTCCAGATCCCTCTGTAGAGCCTTCCTACCCTCCAGCAGATAAACACTCCTGCCCAACTTGGTGTCACCTGCAAATTTACTGACTGCACACAGTCCTGTCATCCAGATCACTGATAAAGGTATTGAACAGAACTGGCCCCAGTACTGAGCCCTGGGGAACACCACTTGCGACTGGCAGCTGACTGGGTGTAAGTCCATTCCCTACAACTCTTTGGGCCTGGCCATCCAGCCCATTTTTTACCAACAGAAGAGTACCGTGGTCCATTTTGGGCTTATTTCTGTATATGACTGAAAAATTTCTGAGTGTCCTGTAGTCCTTTCCTCTGGAAGTTAGTGGACGTGGATAGTGAAAGAGTAGTTTCCACAAGACAGATAATCAGGTCACTCAGTTCTGCATGACTAGTTCTTTACTTATCCAATTACAGAGAGAATATAATCTGTATATGAATAAAGATCACATTTAGAACTAAGAAAGACTCGCTTTTTTCTCTGAAGAAGCTTTGTCCATTCTTTTCATAGGTCTCTATTAAAGCTTTCCTAGATGCATTTTTGAATTTCAGAATCAGAACTTTAAAATTAAAATTTGAGCATTTTGTAATAATTGCTTAAATTAGTATCATTTTGATAATCTACTTATCTAAAGATTTTATTGTAAATAATCTAAATTAGGTAATTTAATAATCATTGATTTAAGTAATTTCTATAAGCAAAATAAAAATTAGGAAAGGTGCTAAAATCCCTATGCTTTTCATTGAGTTATATCGCTAAAAAAGGAGGTGATTATCATAGCCCTTTACATGCAGTAAGGAAAGTGGAAGAACCGCAGTACACAAGATTAAAATGGAGAGAAAAACTGGCCAGACTTTAGGGACTGGACTGGGTTATTATTTCTCAAGTAAATTAGTGCTTGTGCATAAAGTGTCACTGGAATTAGGGATCTTTTTTAATTTGTGTCAGAGTGGTGCCGAATAGAACATACGATTTATACATTATTTCCATTAGCAACTGATCGCACCTAGAAGGGTTTGGAAGCTTTGTCAACTGAAATAATTCCTTAAATGAATAGAAACATACAACTACAAAGGAGACTTTATTTATTTATGCTAAAGTTGGTCTATGATTTAATTTCATTTTTTTTTTCTTTTTTTTTTAACAGAAGTTCCTAGTTTGCCTTAATGGATGTGGGTTTTTTTGGTGGTTTTATAATATAATCTGGTTATTACAGAAATTGAACACTCCATCAGAAAGATGGAGATTTTTGTATCATCTTGTATATTTAAAGAGACTGCATTCAGAGAATGAGATGAAAACAGTTCATGTTATCTATGGACCCTATCCATTTTATGTCATTTTACTGAAGTGCCTCACAGTAATGTAATAAATACAAGCTGATATCAAATTGAATCAAGAGGGTACTCTGAGAAGCATGAAACCTTTTCCTCTTTCATGGTGCACATTTGAGGTACAAGCTAATCAAGTGGTTATGATTTTCTCAATAACAGAAGGCACTATCCAAGTTCAAAATTTACGAAGACAAAGAATAATAGAAAATAGTCTTATGCTGTCGTTAATAAAACAAACATGATACCATGTTTCATAATATTGTATTTTACAGCACAGTCTAAAACAGGCAAAATCTGATAAGTAAGACTGGATGATTGTTTTAACATAAGTTCTATTGGGTCCATATACTGAATTTAGATTAAAGGAAATTTAAAGCAAATCCACTGCCTTCTCCAGTGTAATGTAACCATCTCAGATGTCCTAAATAAGGGCCAGACAGCTTCCCATGTGCGTTCCTATAGTTCCTTAATTACAAGAAACTATCATTTATAATCATCTTATAATGGAATCTTTTGGTAGAGAAATGATACTACAGACATAGATGTTGTGCTAGTTATATTTACGTGTGCTAATCAATCACACTTATTTAGATCAAATCTATTATACTGAGCCACTAGACGTGATCTTTTGGAAATCAAACTGCCAGACAAGGAAAGTTTCTGGTTTCAATTCAAAACTGAGCATTCCCATTCATTCCAATTAACTTGAATGCTGAATATTAATATAATCTTACTGATAGTCAGTAATTAAGCAAGAACCTTCTATCCATGCAATTAGCTATTACAATATGTAATTTTACCTTTGGAATGCAATGGCCATTCTTCTTCATTCTGATTGTTTTGTTTATCACCAGAATGGTAACGGATTTTTGGTAGCAACTGCATGAACTTCCATCTGTCTGTCTGTTGTATTGTTCCTTCTGTATTACTGATGTTTTAGGAGTGAGCCTCTTCCCATGAAGGGTGCAGCAAACTGTGCAAAATAAAGGACTGAGTTTGCCACATTGTCTTTTGTTTGAATTGCCATCTGGAAAAATGTAGGACTGGTGCCCTAAAGTCATAAAGTTGGGTATATCAATTGGAAATAATCAGGTTGATTTTGCATTCTCGACCCAAATCTATTTTCTGTCTTAAACTTTACTGGGGTAAAAAACTTTAATTTATTGTAGGAAAACAACCTCCACTTGTTAGTCTTCAGTATTTTTCTGCATTCCTCCATTCTGCCTATGTTTTCACTACCTGTTTATTCATGGGTAACTTCAAAGTGAAGAGATAGTAAGGAGGAAGCATATGCCTGGGTGTGTTGGCAACAAACTTGCAAAATGTTTGGTACAAAATTTTCAAAGCTCGCTTTTTTTTTTTTTTTTTTTTTTTTTTTTTTTTCTCTTCACACTGTTATGTTCATGTAGTGGTTAAAACAGATAGAGGGGACAGAAGCTGCGCTAACACAGAAGATGTTAGACCTGGAGAATGAAAAGGTAAGGTACAATAACTAAAAAATATAATTCATTTAGCTAAAACTCATCTCAAGGGAATGTGTATAAACTTCATCACAGTTTGATTTGATGCCTTTCTCTGCTTAACAGAGATTGCTTCATGGTAAAATAGGCAATAGGTTTCTAGAACAACTTATTGCATGTATTCTTTGGGGTGTGAGGGAGCTGTCAGGTCTATATAAAACAAAATTAGCAAAATATATACAAATTAGGAGATAAAGGCATACCTTTACAGAGCATATTAACCAAACAGTGTGAAATTGTCTTTGTGCTTTCTCTGTGTATTAAATTGTCTGGCAACAGCATTGTTTTTTTAATCTTGGCGTCATATTACTCGAATTGTCAAGGATATTCCTTTGATCTCTGGTATTTAGTTTCTGGACAAGTTGTAAAGACCTCTTACTCCAGATGACCTTTCTTGCCCCAAGGTCTTCATGCTTAAAGACAGAATGTTTTCGCAAAAGCCGTTATGTCCTGCATAACAAATTCAGTGCTATACTGACCTTATTTTGCCATATGTTGAACAAAGAGTTTTGGAATGAGTGTTTGGTTTTATTGGTTTACCATGCATGCTGTGCTTCTCATCTTCAGATGGCTTTACAAACACTGATCAATCCTCGCTACACCTTTTACAGGTAGATAAGCAATCAGCATTACATTCATCTTAAATAATGGGAAACTGAGACAGGGAGGTTAAGTGATTTGCCCAGGGCCACTGAAGAAGTGTGTATTTGGGCCACATTCAACAAAAGAAGTGCTCAAACTGTGTTCTCTATTGAGTGTAGCCTGGTTGTGCTTTAACATAGGTATGATCCTTTCCACATTTAGTATTTCTTAATTTTTAACTCTTGTTATGGAAAAATGCAAAGGTTTCAGAGAGGGAAACTGCCCACGAATAATAGATTATTTTATAAAAGGAACGGGGAAAACAATAATTTCTTTCGAACTTCCCACTTATCTTCCCACTTACTATCTGTGATGTTTTCAAGTCTTACTCTGGATAGTCTTGTATCTCGTCGTTTAGCATAACAATCTGAGAGTCTGCATTGACAATGACTGACTCAATTGTGAATTGAGTTTAGAAATAATATTCTAGTGCAACACTTTCATAAGGGCTGAGCACTGGTTTAGTTGTCCTGGGAACCCACATTAAGAGTGTGGGATCCTATTCTTGTTTCCTTTCCCCTTGCTTTTTGTGACCAGCTTTTACAATAGCTTTTGGAGAAGCAACATGATCAGGGCAGCTGCACTGCTGTTCTGGGATCTGTTGGTAGTTATGACCCTCTCTACAGAGTCAATCTAATTCTCTGGTGTTAGACACTTGTAAGCATATTAGGACCAGGCCTCTCCTTTGCTATGCATTACACGGTGCATGGTGGTATTGTGTCTTGTACAACAGCCATGTAGCTGTTGCTGTAATCCATATAAGAAAACAATGCCACCTAGGTAGTCAAGGTGGGATTCAGTTGCATAAACATGGTGTCTAATGCCATATTACATTCTTCTGGAGATATCCACAAGTGGCTGAGAAATATGTCCTACAGGATCTCTTGGAGACCCCTGCCCTCCTGGACCAGCAGCTGAAGTATTATACTCTAAATGGCTGTAATGGCAATAGATGCCCATCTCTGGGTAACTGGATTCCAGCCCCAAGATCAAAGCCTGACTTAAACTTTGGTTTCATTTTCAATATTAATTAATATGTAATTAAAAGAACTCCACATTTACAAAAAAAAAAAAATATGGTACTTCTTATACAGAGAACAAATAACAACTTATTCCTCTGAGTCCTCTAATACTGGTCTTGTATCGCTGCTGTTGCCATCTTGTATTGCTGCTCAGTTGTTCTTAACAAGTGGAAGGTCATCTAGTTATTTTATGCTCTGAGCCCCTTCCAAGCATTAATTTGCTGATCAGAATGGATTTGTTTTAAAACAGATGTTTGGAGTGAGAATTCGTCATCATGGTTCATTCTTAGGTAAATTCTGTGTTAGTGCTACACTAACAGCTAATAGAAAACCTGTCAGAAATCCACATACATGTCTGAAAGTAAAATTTGGCCCAAAAAGTGACTTTGGGGCAATCCTATATCCAATAAAACTAACCAGACCAGCAATATTTGATTTTTTTATACTCTTAATAAAAGCTAGAATTAATCGTCTTAAGAACCCTATGTATTTAATTTGACATTTATTCTATATGTTGAGGAAATGCAAGAGTTTGTTGAATAGAAAAAAGAATGATGGAAAATATGAAATACAATCAGAGGGCTTCTCTGCTTTCTGGTCTGCTACTATTTTTTTTGTACATGAAAACTTGCCTTGAAAGAAATGCTAATAAAATCAAGTAACTATTTTATGTTCTACTTACTATCATCCAAAACATCTAAAGCCACATTTTGCAAGAGCGCTGTCACCAATCAGTTCTCACTTGACTATTCAGACAATTCAAATATCCACATCTTTCTTGCAATGTCATGCTTTTGGATACTGAGTTCCACTGAAATTCCAGCCTGGTTGTTTTATATATATGTATGTGAAAGTTGGTGAGTTTGATTTTTAAAAAGAAAAGAAAAAAATCCTTGTAAATCGTAGGTATCTTGAAAACTTCTTCAGCTCTTCAGCTAGTCACTTAACCTCTCTGGGCATCACTTTACTGATTTCAAATTGGCTTCCCGTGTTTACAAATTGAGAACTGAGTTTTTACTTCTGCTTCAGTAATGCATCAGGGAATGCTGCTGCAGAACCCAGCTGCAGCCCTGCATGTTCTGGTTTCCTCCCTAGAACAGGCTAGACAACACAAACTGGGGTTTGCCCCATGATTTCCTTAGGGGTACACACTGGATATTTTCAGAAAAGCCTTAAAGTGCCCTCACTTGTGTTTTTCTCTTCCCTCCCTTGGCCTGCCCTGTGCAAGTTATGGCTGTTGGACCATATGCATGGACATTCCCATTCACCGTTCAGCTGTTGTGTGCACTTCTGTCAGGTCAAGGCAGGTTTGTACACTGGTGTAGAGGTCTATGCATTTTAGGTACAACTTGTTAATATGATACATGTATTTTAAGTGCTAATATTGTAAATTTGAAATTCCAAATATCCTTAGGATGAATGTGGTCATTGGCTATAGATTTTCTTTTGCTTTCACATGGAAAGCTCACATAAAAATGATGGCATTTATGATTCTTCACAAATTAGGATAAAGAACAAACACTCCCTTGTTTTTATTATTGCTCAGGACCTGTTCAGTAAACAGAAGGGTTATTTAGAGGAAGAACTCGACTACAGGAAACAAGCTCTGGACCAGGCATACATGGTAGGAAAAGAACAGTCATTAAATTTTCATGTTTGAACAGATTTGGTAAAATGCAAGTTGATGTTTTTTTTTTCTTTTACTTATGAATAGGATTCTTTATAAATTGATTTCTTTTTTCTTCCAGACTAGGAAATAAAATGCTACTTTAGTGGAGATTTAGGAAATGGATTTATAGAATGTAATGTTTTTGCATTGCATTTTTTATTCTAAAATATGTGAACATCTTGTTAGTACATCTGGAGCGGGAAGAGCTGGTTTATGTGTGCACAAAACCATGATTGGTAAATACACCAGAAATTACTTTAGAACTTTTCCAGTATTGCTTTTCCCTAAACATTTGTAAATATTACTGCTGCTAACCTGTCCTAAATCGGGTATCCCTGTTATTCCTATGTAATTCCTTCCCATGTGGTGCTATCCAACCTTACCTTTCCTAGTTTTCAAAAGGGAAGCTGCAATCTTGCCTTCTCTCAGACTAAGCAACAATTAGGAATTATATAGGAATTGGTAAAACTGCACATCCAACTTTGGTCATAGTGACACTTCAGGGAATCAAAATATAATGGCCTGAAGAATTATTTATACATTGTAAATATTTCTTATGGAGAAAACATTTTTAGAAAAGAAGCAAGGTCTAGTGCTCAGAGCAGATAACACAGATAAAAGGAAGCAGGCTCTATTTCTAACGTTGTGACCTTGGGCAAGCCATTTAACCTCTCTGTGCAACTATTTATGCATCACTAATATGGATAGAATTACCTACCTCACAAAGGTGTTATGAGGGCTAAAGGGATGTTGTCAGATGCTCTTGATCCAAATATTGTCAGTCTGGATGCTGGTTTTTAATACATCTTACTAACCCCAGTAGTCAGGGAAACACTGCCATGATTCCTTTCGTTCTTTACTCTTGGAAATACAGTTCTCTGTATGAATGTAAAGTTCTCCTGTGCTCTCAGCTTTGCAAAATACTGCAGTTTCGGTCAGTGCATGAGAATCTGGTTGGGAATCTGTCAAATGGCAAGAGACAATGAGGGGTTAGTACATGCAAGTATACAAGCGTTCCTCTCCTCATTGCTTATGGCAACTTGGAACTAAGCCAGTGACCTAGACTTTGAGCAATGGATGTCGGGACAGTAAGTCCAGAGAGAGGGAGACAGTAAGATTTCTGTTGTTCACGGTTCTCCCTGTAGGCTTTTTATTTTACAGGGTGGCTTAACAACTCAATTGCAGTTGAAGGGAATCTGTTAGTTTGCATTAATTTTGTAATGTTCAGCATCAGAGGTTGGGGTTTTGTACCTATTGAGCCCAGACCTATCATCTGAATCTTTCTTAAATAGAAGAAATCATTCATTTAATAGAATGGGAAGCATTGCCTGGGTGTAAATCAGTGCCAGAAGGCTATGTGCACTCTGTGTGGAATGCTCCTCACTGCTCACGACTGCCGCTTTCTGTCTACCTGTCTGTGTCTGTCCTTCCCTCCTGCCTAAGGCTTCGCTTGCTAGCCTTCTCCTCTAGCTGTTGGTGGGTCATTTGCTTGCTGGATTCAAATGGCAGCCTGTCTATATGTGATTTGGGTTGCATTAGAAAATCCAGGAGCTGGAAGCCACGCTGTATAATGCCCTGCAGCAGGATCCAGGAAGGTGGGCAAGTGAGTCGCTGACCGAAGCCCAGAGGGAGGATTTGCGAGCTGCAGTGGAGAAGGTGCGGCGGCAGATCCTGAGGCAGAGCCGTGAGTTTGACAGCCAGATCTTGCATGAGCGAATGGAGCTGCTGCAACAGGCACAGCAGGTAAACCTGGTTCTCTCTCCTCCCCATTGTTGGTGCTACCTCTGTGGTTGCTGCCACTGCCCATACAACAGCATCACTTCACCCTCACCTTGTTGAGTTACACTTAGTCTAGTCTTTGTATTGCTCCCATGTCAAGGAGACAAGCAGTGTTAGGATCCAGTTGTGCTGGGCATGGTACACACACAAAATGAGTCACTGTCTAACTACAAGGTCCTGTTGCACAATCTGTTTCATGTGTGTACAACCACACGGTCTTACACAGGACTGACTCCATGGGGAGCCTGTTGCAGGCCTAAATTAGAAAAAGCCATAGTGGAAGGTTGTAAGAGAATAACAGTCATTTGTAAGAGGAAAGGCAGTAATTACAGGAATCTTTTTTTTAGTATTATTATTTTTTCCCCTTTATTTCTTTTAGCAATTTGTGAAATCTTCTAAAATTAAAAAAAAAAAATAAAAAAAAAAATAAAAGAGGAAGTCATAGGAAGTCTTTTAAGAGCCCATTTGCAAGCCTTCAAGCCTTTAAAGTAGTTCAGAAAACCCTTGTCTGTCTAAGCCACTTCCTTAAGGACAAATACTGACAACCTGAATTCAGGCAAGTTTCTCCCAAGTGTGGTAGTTGTTTATTGCAGAATCATTTGGTAGGATTGATAGGTTTTCTGTGCAAAATGTTCAGGGAAAAGAGAGCTGCATGTCTCAGGGTGTTAATTACACCAGCAGGAATAATTGTTCCTAAGGATTTTGACTCCTCTTTATGGTAACCTCTGGAAGATGCATCCAGATGCCCTGGATCTTGAGGGCTACCTTTCAGGTGTTCTTGCTACTTTCTGTGCAAACCTGGAATCACATATGGTAAATGCTAAACTCTGCTATGCAGATGTGTTCAGGATGTTGTTATCTCAGATGCTGGTTCTGGGGCAATAACTGTGTTTAGTTTGGTTCAAGCCTCTCTCTGTTCATGTTGGCTTTGTAGATGAATATAGACCACAACTGATGTAATGTACAGACCTGGCACTGTTGTGTTGATCTCCTGTCATCCTGTAGTGATGAGAAGTTCTTATGGTGCCAGTGTTAGAGCTGAGCTCTGACTTCCTACAAGTCTCTTTTCTTTTTCTCCTTCATTGTGTTCCCTTGGCTTGGAACATGTAACACTGAGATCAAGAGATTAATTTTTTAGTGGGGGTCAGATCAGCAATGGTGTTCCAAAGCTGGAAAAAGTAAGCACCAGCTGGTGCTAAAAGTGTCAGACAGTAGAGTAAATATATGAAATTTGGTAAATAAGGATGGAGCCAGAAGTTACTAGCTTAATGTTATTAATGTAGCTGAAAATTTGTGAAAATGTTGTGGGTTTTTTGACAGCCTCTTGGTGCAATTTCCTAGCCAGATATCAGGGGTTTAATCTGGACTGTTCCATTTGGTTCCATGGATTGCTCACTATCAGTCAGCATACTTTAGGTGCACATCTGGAGCACATCTTCAGTTGAATCCAGATCATGTATTCACATATTGCTCCACAACATAAAGTTAAATATGATGAGTGTGGAAGAAAACTTCACTCCTGCTCTGAACAAAAAGGTTAGTGTAAACATATCCTCATTAGCCATGGTTGCTTATGTACCTGTCTCCAGATCTATTTTATACTGTGAGTTTCATTTTGTGCCCGTCTCATTGTACATGCTATTGCTGCAGCCCTGCAGGACATGTTAAACTGAATTCTACTACTTAATAAGGAGCTAAGTATTTTAGTAATCTATTTTTAACCCCTCATACTAGACAGACAAAACAAAGGCAAAGATGGTGGTTAATTTGTCTAGAGTATGGGAGATGAACAGATTGCATTTGAAATCTTTGCTCAGTTTCTTCTTCTCAGTTGTTTTCTTCTGGAAGGTTGTATTTGTGGGTCCTTATGGGACCAGTGGTCAACACTGATAACCTGGTAGTTGTATGCAGATGTCCATACCTTAAAAACAAATAAACAAAAAATCCCAAACCCTGTCATGAACAGAGATGTCACAGGACTAATTTTCACAGGATTACATTCATCTACACTAGCAAGTAGCAGCAGCTGAAATGCTACAAAAATGAGAGTGTACCTGTTTTGGCAGAATCCTAAGGTATGGATGAAGCTGCTCTAAGTATAGTACATCCATAGATGCTACATTAAATTAATCTCCTCTCTTATTTTGCTGACACTGTGGCATTGGCAAGCACCCGTTACACTTTATTCTAGAAAAACTGTAGTCTAGACCTAGACATATTTGTGAGTTCTGCAGTGCCTTTACAGTATGCACCACCCTTCTACTCTGCTGAATTGGAGGTTACAGAGAACAATACGAAAGCATGATGGACCTGCAAGACTTAATACAGAATGCCCTTGTTGCAAACACTCTCAAACTTCCCATGGAACAGAAACCATATATTAAAGACTCAAAATTCTCTGAGACTCTGGAATTTTGATCACTTCCAGAAGGCCACTTTCTCTGCTTCCATTACCTTCTGGTCTGCCTGATACAAAGGCTTCAGAAGAACAGCTCTGTTTATCCTGGCAGGCTGTCTACAACCTTCTCTGAGTCAGAGTTTCTGTGTCAGACATACAGACTGGGGGTCCAAGATCAGATGATGTAAAAGAAGTTGAGTTCTCTCCTTCTGCATGTCAGTGATCCTTGACCATACTGCAGGATGCAGAAGTGGCAAGGCATATGATGAATGCTACAGGTAGGTCTTCAGGGTTTCATTATAGGAGAACTGCTTCATGCAGGGACTTTGGGGATTTAGCTTGTGAGATGCTGGTTTTACAGAGCAGGTAAATTTCTTTCTTGGGAATGTACTATCTGAAAAGAACAGGGATATGCATAAGAGTGTGGGTAAACTGTTGTCCAAATGTGAGCATCTGCTGCCTTATGTGTGCTTCTTTGTCCAGATATAAATCCTTAGTTCTTACCCACTGGGTACTGACTTTGTTCCAGTGAAATAAATGTATTTTAGGATATTAGGCCCTGTTTTACACTGCTAGATCTGTTCATCTGGGGCATGTATAGCCCCACATTATTATTGTTCATTAGTGTATCAGTGGAACCGTTTGTGTATACCCATTGCGTATTAAGGAAACCAGGCCTCTGTGGAGCCAAATAAGACAGACTGTGTGATTAGATCTGCTTGCGAAGTCATACAAGGCTTTTATTAAACCCAGAGTGCAACATGCAGGTCTGAGGGACAGATCCTCAGCTGAAGCACATTGACATTATTCCCTTTAAGTCAGAGAAGGTGCTTTGATTTACACCATCCTCTCTATTTGGAGGAGGCAAAATATGTTAATTAAAAATCTGTCATGAGCAGCTTGTGATATTTGCTTCTAGCCATAGGGTATGTGCAGTTCAACTGCTGTTCCTGCATATATTGCCATCAAAAATGTCTCGTTGTGCTACACTTATTATAAGCTTTTGTAAATCAGTATCTGGTTTATTTTTAGCAGGGCTTCATTTAAAAGTAACATTTATGCTTGAGTCAGTGCAGTGGCATGAATTTTGTGCATTTTGGTAGATCACTACTACCCAGTTCTGTTAAGAAGGGTAATTTTATATGTGTATATATATACATATATATATAAATTTATATATGCTAAGCCATTTCTAGAGAGAAAAATGTGTTGGTATAGCTACAAAAAACATCTCTGAGAAAAAATATTTCAAACAGAGCGATACAATGTGTTTCTGAAGTAGTGATACCAACTTCTTAATTAAGCAAACTCAAGCCCCGCCCCAATAAAACCCAACAACTGCCCAAAAAAAAAGCCAACACAAAAAATCGACACAGCAGCATGGCTAAATCACTTTAAAAATTTAGTGTGATTGTGTTATCTACTGAGATTAATAAATATTTAAAGGTCAGATTATGCTTTATATAAACCAAATAGGATCTAACTTGAAATATATTCCTGTCAATTAGACTGTAGCTGCTTCCAGAGTAAGAAACCATGGAAAGTGATAAGAGCCAGTCTTTAAATAAGGATATATGAATTCAAATTGCACTGTTGGCAGTATTCAAACATGTAGAAAATTTATAATAGAAATAACATATATTCTGATTTAATTTTATTTTAAATTCAATGATAAGCTAGAAAATCCTTGAAGGACAACAGATTGACACACATTCAGTGCCAAAAATGATTACTACCAATCAGAAAGGATATGAGAGTCAGATTTTATTAATGTAATCCAATAATTTCACAGAACAGTCTTATCTTTGTATAAAATTGTAAGAAAGAAAGAAATAGAAAAGATATGTTAGTTCATTGTATCATCAAAAAGTGTGAAACTTTTTTCTTTGAGTTGCATTGTAGTATTGTACTAAGATGGGGGTGTTCTAACTTGAGTTAGAATATTCTTGAGTGGAGCTCAGCTTTGTAGAATGCAACAATCACTTCAATTATATGCCTGAATATAATACATCTATGGAATGCTGAAGACATCCAAATCCCAGCTCTAAATAGCTGGAAATCTTTTAACTAAGTTTTCTTTAAACTATAGTGTTTACTCCTATGACCAGGTTGGATTATTCATCAATAATAAAAGCAGAAATTGCCACTATATTTGCACATTTTACTAGAAGGCATAGGGCAATCCTTTAGGACAAAACAGGTATAACTCAAAACTGACCTCTGTAATTCACTGCCATAGAGAAGGATTCGCTGCAAATGTGGTGCCCGAGGCACATTTTTCATGGACACCAAGGAAAAGCCAGAAGCAGTGATACCTTTTTTCATCCTGAAATGTCAAATTATAAACATAGCTTGAAATGAAGAAACAGCAAACTATTTTCCTTCCCTAAATTTCTTTATCCTTTTTTTTTTCCTGACCTGGAGATCCAAGTTCTTACTGCTGATAGATCAAACAAAGCTATAGTAGATGCCATTTCTCCGTGAGTTCTCCCTACTCTTGTAGATAAGATACCTTTTTCACACTGAGAGAGTAGTTGGTGTACAAATCCATAGGGTTGGATGGCACCATATCTATAAGGTCCTATTGTCTCAGCCATTGGGAATACATATTTGGGTTTTTGTTGGGTTTATCTGAAACACTTTATTTTAAAAATTTTATTTGTTAATACATTCATTGTCAATGTGAAGTAAGAACCTGATTTACCACTTGATATACTATGAATGTTCAGGTAAAACTTGGATATATCCAGCAGTTGTTTTGCTCTCCCTTTGCTGTGTAATTTGTTTCAGTTGATAGACAGTCTATTTTTCATCCAAGGAGAATTATTAAGGTTTAGTGTTTGACTGGGAAGGTTCTTGGGGGAGGGAGAGAGGGAAGGAGATGCTATGCTCAGTGTACCTCATTGGTAGGCATGATGAGCTGTTGTCTTAAATTTATCCTCTTTGGCACATTGCCTTATGTCACAGAGGAAAAATTAAAGAGAATAACTCCTCTGCCATGTTGTCTTGTGCCAAGGAGGCTGGCTTGGTCAAACACTCACAGCTTTGTCACACAGTTCAGAAAGTAGGCAGAAGTATTACTAGTAAGGTTACTTACACAATAATACATGGGGAAAGTCTCAGATCATTTTACATCCAAATCTGTATAGATACTGTCCTGGTTTGGGCTGAAATAGAGTTAATACTCCTTTTCAGGGACTAGATGAGTGCTGTGTTTTGGATTTAGCTTTGGGTTTGGTATGAGAAGAATGCTGATAGCACACTGATGTTTTCAGCTGTTACCGAGACTTCAAGGACTCTCCGACTCCCCATGTCCTGCCCGTGCGCCAGGGCACAGGGAGCAGGGAGGGAGCACGGACAGAGCACCAGGCCCAAATTGGCCAATGAAATATTCCATATCATGGGACATCATGCTCACTATATGGAGGAGGGGTGGTTGGGAAGGAGCTCTCTCTCTCTCTCTCTCGCTTCCGGGATTGCGACTGTGGGATCTTGGTATCTCGGGGTCGCTGGCCGGGAATGGGCTGGGTATTGGTTAGCGGGTGGTGAGCAATTATGTTGTGCATTGCCTGTTTATAGATTTCTTTTTTTTTTCTATCATCATCATTCTTCTCGTTTTATTGCCATTATTAAACTGTTCCTATCACAGCCTGTGAGTCCCCCTTTACCCCTCTAATTCCCTCCCCCATTCCCAGGTGGGGAGAGGGAAGGGAGGGTGACCAGCTGCGGTGGTTGGTTGCCAACCAGGCCCAAACCATGACAATACAATCTGTTTTAATGTTTTTATTTTAAATCTGAAGTGTTAAGGTGCTAGCAAAGTTCATCCCCAGCTACTTGTATTGAACTATACGTGAAGAGGAATTACAGGAATACATAGGGCAACCAGTGACATTTTTTTTTCCAGTTATGAGTGCCTGCAGTTGAGAAATGTTCTGTGCTTTGCTGTTCAACACATACTAGATTATCGTTGATAATGCATTTTTGTATTCGTAAAATGTTCTTAAAAGCATCTGATATAATAGCTTTCTAACTGTAATCTATGTTCATCAAGCACATCATGACAAGGTTAATCATAGTTGACCTGTGGTATTGATTTGTCATGCAGGAGTGAATGTTGAGTCTTTCAAGGCATCATTGCTGCTATAACGACAATATCACAATGAACTTCTATATAATAAACATGCATGGCAGATGAGATAATTTTAGTAATTTCTATATGTTTATCTTACAGTGTTTCCCATGTATGTTTTCTGAACATTTATGCTTCAGATCTAGCCATGCCCGCTTTGCTAGCTGCCTTAGGGATGCTTCTTGCCTGAATAGGTGATAATAGCAGGACTGATGTCATACCTACAGAATATGTCTGAAAGGTCTTCTCCCTTCATCCTAAACAAGGTGTGACTGAGGTTGCACTCAAGAGCAACTATATTCCTTAAAGTAATATTAGAATCAAGAAAACTCTTAGCTGAAGTTTGAATGCTGAAATCTTCTCATCTAAAATCCTGAATACATTATGTTTCTTAGGAAAGACCAGTGAGATCTGAGGTAAGGCAAGTCTAAGAGAGAAAATGTTATGAAGTTTGTTATAGAAGTGAAGATTAAATGTGTTTTCATGTGTACAATTCATACGTATGTCATGATAACTACTTACATGAAAATTTGCTATTTAAATATTAGAGTGTAAAATAAAATAATCTAAATTTAATGCTAAATATATATTACATTATGGATTTCCTGGATAATGAATCTAGGCTACCAAGGAGTCAATAGTCAATTTTAAGATGTTGAATATGTTTTGTCTGATGAGCTCGCATAGACTTAGAATAGCCATTCATGTAGATATAAGGCAAATGTGGATTTAATGATTGTTTTTCCTGAATGAAAAGCAATGGGACTATTGATATTCTTCTGTTAGATATCAATGTATGATGTAGTTTTACTATAGCATAAATTAAAAGACTCTCGGTGTTAAAAAAAAAAAGTTTGCTAGTAAATATTAAGCCATATCTTCATGTACATATAGTCATTCAGTATCAGCTTATAACAAATAATTATGTTAAGCTAAATTATTTTATAAAATTTATTGATTTACTATTAAGACCAATGTGATTGAATACGTATTAACTTTCATGCTGAGAAGTACATCAGCGCAGCTGCTAGAAGGTTCAATAAAGACTAACAAGAACAATTCTCATACTTCAGTAACTATTAATTGAATTATCATGGTTGAGACTGGAGAACACAAAAAGAAATTAAATTTTTACCTACTATATTAAGATAGACCTTGGTGAAAATCAGAGAGGTACAGTATATCCAAAATGATCTATCATATTCAACTGGATGAAATTTATTTTTTTCATTCATATAGCAAAACAAGATGGCAACAAAAATAGCTTAAGCTAATGCTATTACAGTGTGCTTAGTGGTTTCCTTATGACCATTACACAAAATCACATTCTAGGAATATTGGACTAAAGGGAACATTTGGATTCCTGAATCCAGACCCCTTAACCGTAGCAGATCCAACAGCTTGAGTAAATGTATCTGGCAATTGCCTATGCAAATTGTAAATACAGTAGAGGCGTTTAAACAGCTGTTAAAATGCATTAGATTTAAAAAGAAATATAAAGAAGGTAATATATTTCTTTTCATTAAGGAATTTTATCCGTCGGCTTAGTGATTTGAATAATAGCTGAAGGAAAATCAATTTATGTTCATCTTTGTTTAAATTTATACATGTAGCACAGACTATTCACATTATTAAAGATCTTACATACCTGTGTCTTCATAGTGTTGAGAAACTGCTTAAAATAATGATATAATGAAACAATATCGATTCTTCCCTTTGTCAGATTGATAAAATATTTCACTTGTTAAATTTTGCTGCAGAATGAGATACATTCTTGATCATAACTGTCTTCAAAGATTCAAAACACAGTTCATGTCTGATACAGTCCATGGTGGCTATCCTGTAAATATACATCAACCTGAACTTTTCCAACATTTCAGAGCCGAGGCTCTAAGCAGCTTAGCAAATCCTTCTTTGTCTGCTTTGTGCTAAAATTATCACATTGTTTTCTTGGATTTGCTGATGAATGTAAATCCAATAAGAGTGTGTCACAGGAATTATTAAGGTGATTTCTAAACCCCCTGATTAGTACATTCTTGTGTTTTCACAACTATATTAGCATGGCAAGGGGCATATTTTGCAGCCAGATAAACTGATCTTGATGTTGCTGTCAGTAAAACAGTATGTTTGGATGGGCTTTTTACTTATACACTTATCTAGAAAACAACAACATCAGTTCTGCAGATTGACACCACCTACATGGAGGATGATGTGGTCATTGTTTTCTGGCAGGTGAAAATTGTCACAGGAGTTCCATTCCTGGTACCATTTTCCCAATTTGGCAAAGCTCCTTGAGGATTTGAAGCCATCCAAGATGTTGCTCGAGGACTAAGAATGACTGGCTAATGCTATGAATGAATTGGAGAGGATAAAAGGCTTGGATGAAGAAGTCCACTTCATCTAGCCTGTATCACTATCCAATAAACAGAAAACACTGAAATTCTCAGAATCTGTGTTTTCTGCTAAAAAAGTAGCTGGGAGATTGGGTCAAAAAAGCCAGAATGTGTGTAAGGGACCATGTAGCTGTAGAGAAACATGGTCCATTTCTCATTAGAATCTGAGCTATCATAAAAAACAAACAAACAAACAAACAAACTAAAATAGGTTAGAAAATAGGCATATTTTGGTTGGTTGGTGAGGGAAATTTGGACCTAGTATCTTAGACTAGTAGGGCACTTCATTACACCTCAGATCAATTTTTTTTTTTTATAATACTGAAGTTCCTTCCATGCCATATGCTCAAAATGATGACATATCATTACTGGGCTGATTTATTACCTCCAGCAGAAAAAATGATAACTTTGAGATTGCAATCCAGGGCTCACTAGCTCAGTGGAAGGACTTCCATTTATTTCAGTGCTCCTTTACAACAGGTTTTATATTAATGGAAACGGTACTTAATGTAGATGGATTGCTATTATAACATAAGCTGGGGACACATACTTCATATGTACTGTGTGGGAATACAATTATCTTTCCTTTTTTTTTTTTTTTTTTTTTTTTTTTTTTTTAAAAAATAGAGCAATTTTTTCATTTTGGCTAAACCATTCAATGATGTTAAGTAACAGAAGTGCAATAGTATTATTTCCACTGTCAGCTTCATTTTTTGTACTTCTTTGCTCCATAGTGCAAGATGAGTTTTCTAGGTCCATGTTATTGGAATTTCTCTGTTAGTGAAAGTAGAGTAATATTTCCAGGCACATGTCCACAGTCATGCTGATTGAATTTCACCTAAAACTTGATTCCTCACATGACTCAGAGATGTGGCTTGCAACCTTGAGGTTGCAGGATAACCACAGGAGCTACACCATACTAAAAATTACAGAAATTTCACTTCTGAAGTCAGTACCTACCTGGTTCTCCACTGACAATGATGCATTATTATAATTCCATTGGACCTGGCCTCTGAGTTGAATGGTCTGCAAGTAACACATTGCCTTTAATTCCATTTTTAAATCTGTATCATCCCTTTTTTTGCACCTTTATACAAGGGATTCATGACAATAATGAATTTGCATCTAGGGTTATCTACCCTTTTATTGAGTTTGGATGTATTTGGAAAACAACTGTTATCTCTAGGAGAATTATCCAACTGTCATGAAAACTGAGCTGTAGGTGCAGAGACAGCTGAATTGGTCCCATGTAGGCATACTATCAATAGAGCAATGCTTGATGCAAACTTGGAGACTCCTCTTCTGGAGGAAGGTCAGGACAGCTGGGAGTAATAATGTTGTGGAGTCCCGTCTTGATTTTTCAGCCCTTTGCTACCTCAGAAAGGAAGACCTGACTCTTAATTTCCCTACCAGTACTGGAAGATATACAGTGAAGACTCTTGCAATCCAAGTTTACCAAAGTGAAGTAATTGCTTAAGGGGGATAATTGCACTTCAAGAAATATGTTCTATTTCCCAGAACAACCTTCCCAGTGTGAGGTGAAAGGAAATGAGTTATGAGTGTTTAGGAGAAATCTTCTGCACATTACAAATCGTCTGCTGAGAAAAAATGTTTAATTTCACACTTTTGGGGAATTTGATAGCCCTTTGTGTTTGGGAGCTGTCCAAGCATTGGACTGAAGAGGAGGGGCAGTATATCATCACTACAGTCAGTGAACATAACTTATACAATTGAAAATGACTGATGGTAAACTTCCCTTTTACAGCTCTGTTCAGTGATGTGGTAAATAGTACCATGTTAAGGGTGCTTTAGCAGACTTTCAGTCATATGCCTGTCTTCATACTATAGACTTTCAAAGGAAACATATGGTTTAGCTGCCTTAACTTTCTGGATGTTCTCTCTCTTACCTAATTGTTAGAGTTTTTAGGTTGTCCATCAGGATTACAGCTGTGCCACCTACCTTTGTGTATATAATGTATATATAACTACTGTTAATAAAAAAATTATAATGGAACTTAAAAGTCAGTTCAAACTGAGTTTAGTAATAAGGCATATGTTGTACAGCTTCAGCGTCTTTGTTCTGTAGCTGTCTGGAAAGGCCAAGGGGTTTGACAGCTGAGCCTCCTTCCTGCAGAGCTGAAGCTGCTGTCCCAGCCGTGGCTTGGCGGGCAGAGCCATCTGCTGTTAGTGCAGCCCCCAGCCCCTGCTGCCTTCAGGCTGCTTGCAACCGCTTACTTAGAAGTGGCAGCAAACTTCATTGCTAGTGGAAGGGTGATTTATCAAGTGCCTGCCATACTGAAATGGATACTTGTCCAACCCTCTTTCGAAAACTCGGGGGAGCTCCATGCGAGTGGAGACACTAACAAGGAGTATTCACAAATCTACCCATCCACCCTCCAGAGGTTTTGTGAGGTTTTATTTGCTATTGTAATAAAATCAGTGACAAATTAGTATTCATTATTTTGGAAGGTTCGTTTTGAATTTGGGTGAGGTGGACACTGTTAAGAATCCACGTCCCTAATGTTTCCCCTTCTCTGTCGTTGCTGCATTCTCGTTGCACTATTTTTGTCTGACTGTAGCTCTTTGTTTGCCTACAGTAATTCCTTTGTATGGCCCCATCATTTGACAACACAGTGTTATGCTCATGAATCCTGTCAATCCCAAAAAGGTGCGCTCATGTGACTGAGGGGCAGCTATTAACTGTAGGAACACAGGAATTGCTAGAACCCAGCGGAACACCACTCCACTTTGTCCCTAATCCTTGCTCTGACTGTGACCAATGCTAGAGGGTTTAAAGGAAACGTAAACACTGTGCTGGGTTTATCCACATCTTCTATCCTTCCCTTTTTAAAAAAGAAAATAAAAGAACAGCCTGTGGCTTTCTTCTCAACTGTGGCCTAGTGATCATCAATTTGTGTCCTGAAGCATGAAAGTAGGTAGAATTTCTTGATAACAATAAAATAGTTCTGCGTGATTTGTTGTCACAGTTATGCTTTTGCAAACATAAACAAATCAGAGTTCATTGAAAGCATCTAATCAAGTGTTGAAAACCTGAGAGTGATTCCACAGCTTCTTGATTGCTAATTCTTGCAAATAAAAGGAACAGTAAAGATGTACGTGCTTATAATGAACCTCAAGCAGTCCTGCCTTTTGTATGAATTAGTATGTGTAATTTTTGTGTCATTTCCTTCTTGGTAGTTGTAATCTTTGACAGAGGAACATCTCTTGCTACTTCTAGAAGATACTTTTTTTGTTAAAGATAGGATTATTGCATGTAGATTGCATGTATTTTTTAAAGTCATATTTCACAAATTGTTATCTTTGTATGATCAAAGTAATGCTGTAAATGAAGATAGGTACAATGGGGGGAAATAATTATTTTTATGTGTTAAATACTGTATGCAGATATAAATCTGTTTTTTTTCCTGCCAATATATTGCATATATATGTATATATTTTTTAAGGCCATCCCTGCAGTCAAATGGAAATAAATTAGTTAAATCAGATTTTTCAGGATATATAAATAGCTGAACTAGGCTGGATATCTTCCAGTGTTGACCCTGTGGAATCAGAGGATATTGATGGGAATAGCTACACCCACTTCATCCTCCTGGATAATCCTCCCTACAATACTCCAGGGGAAAGCATGTAAACAACTAGAAGTAAATGACCTCAAGCTTTGATACCTGATGGAAAATTCCAGCCCACAGTTGTGTTTTAGAACAAATTCAGACCTGCCTAGGTTTGAACTCTTAATTTCTGTAGTAAAGAATTTGGTTACAAAATCTGACTCATTTGCAGCGTAAATCTCCTGTCATTGCTATTTCCACCCATATAGGGAGAATACTAGCTATTTAAACAGTAGTCACCTATCTTCAACATATTATCTTTAGGTGGTAAGTCTGGAACAGGTCTACATACACACGTGTATACAGGTAAATATCTGCCCTACAGACTATATCCACTCTGTATATATATCTGCCTTACTGACATAAATCTAGTTGTTTTGTGGATTTTTTGTAGGTTTTCACTGCTAAAAAATTCAACCCTAATCTGTTTTAGTTGCTGGTTGTCTTTCATTTAAACTGATTTTTAGGAAAGGGTGTAGTTCTTCACCTGAAAACTATTTTCTATCTTTCGTCTAATAAAGTTTAACAATTATGATGTGTTTTGGGTGAGAATTGGAAACCAGAAGCCTCAGCCCTTTTTTCTGGAGGTATTCTGAATAGCTAGAAAGAATAGCTGAATAGCTGTAATCTTTTGAAAAGATTAAAAATTCATAAGGGAATAATAACATCTCAATTTCTGCTCAATTAACAGAATTCCCAAATCTGAAAAATGTAGTCTTATCCTAATTAACATGTTCTTTTATAAAAGGACACTTGCTGTAAACCCTGAGGTGAGAAAGCCACCAGATGTTTGGGGGCTTTTTTATTTTCCTGTGAGATGAATTCTCAGCAGATATTGAAATAATATCTTGC